CAATTTTCTGTTTATTGAAATATTTTTTTTGTTACAAGAAACGAAAGTAAAGCTTATACCCCAGCAATATGATCGCTTCTTTTTTGGAGAACTAGATTAATAACTGTAATTCGTCGTTCAGCAATTAAGAGATAGGCGATACATTGATTGAAATTTCAATATAATATCAAAACATCGTAACTTGCAATAATAGGTATTGATGGTATAAACTTTCAACGATATGCCAACAGGGTAAAGTTTCAATTATATTAACAACCCAGAATTTATTTCTTTTTAAATTTCAAACTACGTCCAATCAATATCAAGTTTTTGCAGTGTTTCAAATTACGAATGTGTGAGTTTTGGCGACAAAGATTTCTCATAGTAATCGAGGCTTAAGGCCCTTCCATTTTTTTTTCAAAGTGTAAAAAATAAATAAATAGAGCATATTTTGCCATGACAGTAGTAGTATACGCACGCGATCTCCGCGCGGCGTGATCGGGATGAAATTCGTGTCAAATAATAAGGCGACTAACACACTGCACCGCGCCCCGCGGCGGTGCGCGGGACGCGGAATCAGCACAGGGGGTCTACTCAGGATCTCCGTCCGAAACAATTACTGCCAAATAAGCAATACTTGACCAAATGAAAAGACGCGTGATGCGAATGAAGCTTCATACATGACATGATACTTGTCTTTTAATTTTGTCGAATATTACTTATTTGACAGTAATTGTTTCGGACGGAGATCGAGAGTAGACCCCCAGATCTACGTCAACACGCGGTTTAATATGCGCGGGGGCAGCGGTCTAGTGGCCCCGCGCTACTTAAAGTACTTGCTTCGTAGTTGATCGCCATACTACATTGTACATGTAGCTGAAATTCTTCTTTGACAAGAATGGTTAATAATACAGAACTCATTCAGGGAAAATCCGAACGACAATTACTGGAATAGACACAAATTGATTAAAAATCTGTATATCCGGTAGTGCGGAACGCAGTGTGCCATACCCCGCGTTACGCGGCGACACTGCGTAGAACCGCAGAGAAGCGTTGTCCGTGTGTTCGACGGCGCGTGTTTTCCATA